TCAAGTATATATGTTCTGCTTTAATTAAGTATGTTTTACCTATAGAGATAACATCTTACCCACTCTTCCCTAAAATCTTTAGGTTTTAAGAATTACTGATGACACTGTTTCTATTCGTATCCTTTTCTCAGGGATTATGAATCTACAAGCTCCTGGAAAAGTACTCAGTAGATATTCAATAAATATTTGCTGAATTAATATGGAATATGGGATTTATAAGAGGTTCTGTCCTTCTCCATGTCTAGGATAGCATTTTGGCTAATAATACTTAGAGAAATTATGCTTTAATTGATTTATTAATTGATGTGATAATCTCCAACTAAATACACTATTGATTAAATATTAGCTTGGATTAAATCAGAACCTTTCTTGGTATCCAAAGAAAAAGTCCACTTTGGTTTTTGTATGTCTGTCTAGCTGCAAATGGTACAAAAGAACTACTGTAAGATTTGAGAGTGGTTACAAAGAGTGCTCCCTTGAGAACGTCGCATGGAAGCAAGACAGTATCTAAAACAACTGGCGAGAGGTTCCAGGTCACCCAAATTGGCTTGAAAAAGTCCCACTGACTAAATGTCTTGTTTGGGTTCTGGAATTGTGCCCTAAACAGTGTCTGGGTTCACAAGGGAAGTTGAATTTACGAACTGATAATCAGCCTGCTGGAAGAAAACTGACACCCAGTGGAAGAGAAACAGCCAGCCTAAGTGGGCTTTTTTGCCTTTTTTCTACCCCTTCACTGTGGGTAGGGGGAAATGTCAAAGCCATCTCTTGTCTGTAAATCTTCTAAAGGCTTAATAAATAGAAAGCAAGGAGGGAATAGACTGAAAAAAGCTAGGACAAAGCCTCAATACATTTATTCTCAAAAAACCACAGAATACAATCTCATTATTAAAAACAGTGGAAAGCATAATAGAAATTTGGGAGCTTTTAGTGTTCCTTTTTCCTGATTAAATGCAGATCACATAAGGGCTCTTGATGGGAGAAGGGGAGAACAGCTCCCAGTACATCTGGTCCCTGGTATTAATCTTAACTGTCTGGTGATAGCAAGGCTCGTGGCTTTTGGGGCAGCAAATACCTGCGATGATGACTGAGTCAGTTCGGGCTGGGCCAAATTTCAATGTCATCTCATGCTTGTGTTTATGAACTGCCAGGTGGTCCTCATTTGTAAATCTCTGAAATGAAACGGAAATAGAGATGTGGAACAAACAAACAAACAAAAAACTCCACCAATTCAATGACCTTTTAAAATATCCTAAACCAAACATGCTGCAAAGAGATTGGTCCCTAGAAAGAGGGAATGGAAGAGAGAAAATATTGGAAGTGATGGAAAAGGAGAAGAGATGGAGAAAAAAGGTGCTGGGAGGCAGGGAAGAGAGGAAAGGGAAAAGACCACAGCACCAACTGCTCTGTAATATCAGGTCCAAATGATAGAAATGGACAGATTGTTGGTGGAGTGGGGTCCAGGAGGAGGCTCCAAATGAAAAAAACCATTAAGACAAACTTGCAGTGAACAAGGGGAAAACAATTTTTATTAATAATAATAAAGAGAGAAGAAGGGAAAGGCTGGGCACTTGGTCATCACAAAAATAGGACATTTCAGAACAAAGCTCTCCATGGTGGAGCTGAATTGGACTATTTTATGAGGGGACTAACAGGGAGATAAATTATGCAGGATTAGGAGAATCGTTTAACTTCCTGGCCCCCACAGTGCTGCAGCAGGCGCCTGCGTGGCTATTTGGCTCAGGRTTTTAATGAGCCAGGACGGAGCTATAGAGGACAGAGGCCCAATGGCCAGCAATAATGGCATACACAACCCCATCGGCCAAATGTTGTCTCCCCTCATCGGGCAGCCTGCCTGGGCTCCATCAGCCATAAAGGGGCTGGTACAATGCTGCTAGCTGTATAATGGAAGAATAAAAATGAAAGGAAAAAAAAATTAAGGGTAGGGAGGAGCCTGTAGGCAGGATGAAGGAAGAGAAAARGAGAAAGCACAGAGATTTTATTTGTTCAGAGGCGTGGATGAAAGAACAATGAAGAGGTGCAACAAAGTCCACCCCAGTTTATGACTAAGTAAGACAGGGTTACTGGACAATAATTTATACTTCCACCTCTTTAAAAGGAGGAGGTGAAAGGAACAGATGAACAGCAGTAATTCAAAAGAACAGTACTCTCAAACGTCCCTTTGTGGCTGCTGGTCCTGTTCCTTCATTAAAACATGCCTACAACACAGTAACTGCCGGGATGCTGCAGCTTTCCACAGCTTCTTCAATAGGGAGGCTCTGAAACATGATTCTATTTGTCTTTTTGTTTCTAAAAATAGTGATTGATGGCTTAATCCACCTTTCTCTTTCTTCTATATATATATCTATATCTATAGATATAGATATATACCCCCCACAAAACACCACACTTTCAACCCTCCTTTCCACAACTCATCTGCAAAACAAATACACAGAAGTTGGTCCCATTCTAGTTCCCACCCCCATCCAGAAAACAACACTAAACTGTTTCAGCTCCTTTATTTTACCCCAAAGTAGCTTTTTTCCAAATTCACTTCTAAAGTCAGGTTAAGATCCACATTCTTTCCAAGCAAGGCAGACGTGGCCTAAAGGGCATAGGGAATTTTCAATTAAAAGTGAAGATCCAAGAAGTCAGTCAAAAGAAAACTACCTTAGTGGTTTCTGATGGATCTAAGACAAAACTGAACAAAATACAGGAAAATTTCATCAAGAACTATAGTTTTCTCTATTATTGGTAAACCCCATCACCAACTTTTTTAGTTATAGATTTTCCCTAAGGGATGGTGGGAGTGGAAAGATAGGTGACAGTCTGTTAACCAGGGATATATCTGTAGGTTAAACAAGTTACTATACAGGGTCTGTGATTGCTTTGTATTTGATAAAAGGAAATAAGCAGAATTGTCTACAAGGGGAGAAAAACAACAACATAAAAAAAACCATCAAAAACATCCTTTTAAGGGGAGACAAAAGGTAGTGGATTAAACAGACTTGTTGATTCTGGTAATTTCAGGAATCTTTTTTTTTTTTTTTTGAGAATTTTAATATTTATTTTTTAGTTTTCGGCGAACACAACATCTTTGTTTGTATGTGGTGCTGAGGATCGAACCCCGGGCCACACGCATGCCAGGCGAGGCGCTACGGCTTCAGCCACATCCCCAGCCCTTCAGGAATCTTTTTCAAAAATATGTTTATAGGCACTTCAAGGAAATTTCATGCAGGTAGTTTGAAAAACTTTGAACAATGTTCTCGAGCCTAAAAGAATTGACTTTAAAAAGAATTTTCTTTTGTAGTTGTAGATGGACAGAATGCCTTTGTTTTTATTTTTTTAAATGTGGTGCTAAGAATTGAACCCAGTGTGTCACACATACTAGGCAAGCGCTCTGCCACTGAGCTACAGCTCTAGCCAAAGAAATGACTTTTAAGCAAGAAATCCTCTACTATCAGAAATCTAGTTTGCTTTAAAATAAGCTGATAGTAAGATTTTAAATCTCTATCAGGTTTGGGTCTAGTTAAGATTGTTCAGTATTTTATTATTTGAAACTGTTGATTGAGTCCAGGGTCCTAAGCACGGTAGTCAATCACTCTACCACTGAGCTATATCCCCAGACCCTTATCAGTATTTTAAAAGGCAGATCCTCCCTTTGGCTACAACTCTCTGCATAGRCCTGACATGTTTCATTTGTCTAGTTCTTGTTCCTCTTTGCTCCATACCCCTGTTCTCCAAACCCCTTTCAAGTCATCCATGAGCTATTTATTTTTTCCAAATCAAAAGCTGGGCCTGAAGAGAAATGTAGGTGGCAGAAGGGATTTACCACCTACTAGCATGTCAGAGGGTTTGATGAATCCAAAACTCTAGTTGAACTAAACTCTAGCTGAAATTTAGCATTTCTAATTCATAACAGAAATTACACATTTTTATAGCACCTTGTAGTTATTACAAGATACTGCAAAATATTCTTTTTTCCTCTGGGGATTGTTTCTAGGCCTTTGCATGCTAAGCACACACTCTATTACTGAGCCTCACCCCATCATGCCTGAAAATATTCTGGGTTTTTGTATTTTTGTTTTGCAGTACTGGGGATTAAATCTAGGGTGCTCTACCACTGAGTCACATCCCTAGACCTTTTTGTTTTCAAACAGGGTCTCACTAAGTTGCCAAGGTTGGTCTTAAATTTGTATTCCTCCTGCCTCAGCCTAGGGAGTCACTGGAATTATAGGCCTGTACCACCATACCCAGGGAAAATAATCTTTACACTCATCACTATTTTGAAGTTATAGTAACTACCATACCTACCACTAGAGCTTATTTAATGCACTAATTAAAAAGCACATATATTTTTTCATACATTTGATAACTTTAAAATTCCACATAATTCCATATAATTTCCTTTAAAATCCTATGTATTTTATGAATTTAAAAGCATTACTTTAGGAAATGGTTCACTGGCTTCACCAAACTGCTAAAGGAGGTCCGTGACAGCACTACTACTAATAACAATGACCTCTGAGTAAACAATGTAGTATATTTCAGAGGAGGAGGAATCAAAAGGGCATACTTTTAAGAAGCAGGGCACTATCCTAGTCTTGGCCCCAGTCATCTGTCCCTGCTATTTATAATGTAATTCTTGTAATCTTGAGTAGGAGGGGGAGAATGAAAGCTTACTGAAGCTTTGGTCAAAGTGAAGGCCAAGCGGGGCATGCCGGAGCATGCCTATAATCCCAGTGGCTCGGGAGGCTGAGGCAGGAGGATTGCAAGTTCAAAGCTAGCCACAGCAACTTAATGAGGCCCTGGGCAACTTAACAAGATCCTATCTGTAAATAAAACATAAAAAAGGGATGGGGATGTGGCTCAGTTGTTGAGCATCCCTAGGTTCAATCTCCGGTACCCAAAAAAAGCCAACATTATTGTTGGCTATTGTTTTGAATATTCCTTACATTTTTCTGTTTATTAGAAGTTAATGTCTTAAGAATTCTCTAGAACCTTTGTCTTACAAAGGCATTTCTTTGGTTCTCTGTCTTTGGACATGTAAGCATTGGAGGAAAAGAAATTTTGTGGATTTGGAGAAGTCTGGGGCCAGCTTGTTCACTGTAGGCTCAGGATCAATCACATAGAACAGGAGGAAAAAAAAAAAAGAATTCTCTAGATCAGGGGCTGGGAGTATAGCTGAGTGGTAAAGCACTTGCCTAGCATGTATAAGGCTCTGGGTTCAATCTCCAGCACTGGAAAAAAAAAAAATCTTCTCTAGATCAGCACACCCTCCCACTACTCACAGTGATAGGGACTGAACACAGGGACTTGTGCATGCTAGAAAATCAGTCTCGAATTTCATGCTTTGGGAATGATCCCTCTAAAAGCAATTTCTGAATTAAAATAGCCAAAATTATTAATTGATAAAAATTTTGAACTTAGTAAAATACAGAATATTCTCTTGAATCAAAGAGGTAGAAGGGCCAGGTGTGGTGGTACATGCCTATATTCTCATCTACTCAGGAGGCTGAGGCAGGAGGATTGCAAGTTTGAGGTTGGCCTAGGCAATTTTGAGACCTTGTGTCAAAAAAGAAACTAAAAAAATACCAGGAAGGTAGATCAGTAGTAGAGTGTTCCTGGAAAATTTCTGCCTATTGGGTGTGGTGGTATACACTTGAAATCCCAGCAACTAGGGAGGCTGAGTCAGGAGAATAACAAATTTGAGACCAGCTTCAGCAACTTAGTGAGAGGCCCTAAACAATTTAGCAAGACCCTGACTCAAAATAAAAATAATAGGAGCTGGTGTTGTGGCTCAGTGATAGAGCTTGCCTAGCATGTGTGAGGCACTGGTTTCGATTCTCAGCACCGCATATAAATAAATGAACAAAATAAAGGTCCATCAATATCTAAGAAAAATTAACAAAAAATAAGATAAAAAGTAAGAAGGGCTGGGTATGTATCTCAGTGGAAAAGCGTCTCTAGATTCAATCCTCAGTAAACAACAACAACAACAAATTACTGACCATCTAATAATCTAGCTCCCCCATGTTAATACCCTTAATGGCTCTTCCTTTTTTCTCTGATTTTATCTATAATTATGGTTGTGTCAAACAAGCTACTCAGGGAATACTGATACGGTTGTAGGACACATGATCATAATATTCAATAAATGTGAATGTTAACCATCTCCAAGGAAACAGAGGGCTGATGTTATTCAAAATGGGGGCTGAAGAATCTGAATCAGTTTGGAAGCAGAAGACAGTTTATATATCTTGGAAAATAATTTATATGATAATAAACTTGGAATCTTATTTACTGAAGTAAGTGAAATCAGGACAGTTTCCTGGCATAAAAGAGGAGAGAAAAAGTATTATGTGCTATGTTGCACCCCATCCAGAAACCAAAATCATTTAGGTATGCACTATCCAATATGGCAGCCTCTAGCCACACATGGCTATTGAGCACTTTAATGTAGGCTAATCTGAATTGAGATGCACTATTACTCAAACCATACACTGGATTTTGAAGACAATATCAGAAATAAAAAAATAAAATAAAACATCTCAATTTTTATGTTGATTACATGTTGGAATGATTATTTTACAAATATTGGGATAAATATTAATTAATTAAATTAATTTCACTTCTATATTTTTATTTTTAAATGTGGCTACTAGAAAACTCAAAATTATATATGTGGCTCATATTTGTGGTTCACTTCATATTTCTTTTGGATAGCTCTGATCTAGACAATATATTCTAAGATTGCTTGTAGTCCCCGTTACTGGGGAGAGGTTGAGGCAGGAGGATCACTTGAGTCCAGGAGTTTGAGATCAGCTGGAATAAAACTCAGATCCCTGTTTTAAAAAAGGGGGAGGGGGGATTTTAATCACATGTCAATCTTGAATCTTCTCTCTCAAGCCCACTTTCTCTAAATGCGGTTTATACTATATGGCAGTGGTTCTCAATAAGGGGCAACTCTGCTCCTTAGGAAAATATATGGCAATGTTTGGAAACATTTTTGCTTGTCACAAATGGATGCTACCTGGCTTCTAGAGGGTAGAGGTCTAGGATGCTATAGATACTGTATAATGCACAGGATAACCTCTGTTGTGGTTTAGATATGTGGTGCCCCCCAAAAGCTCTTATGTGAGATAATGCAAGAAAGCTTAGAGATGATTGAGTTAGAACAGCCTTAACATAATCAGTGTATTAATCCCCTAATAAGGATTAACTGGATAGTAACTGTAGGTAGAAACGGTGGGGCCAACGGAGGTGGGTCACTGGGGGCATGCCTTTGGGGTTTATATTTTGTGGTCAGGGGAGCAGTTTCTCTCTCCTTCTGCTTCCTGGTACCATATTCCTGTTTTCTTCCACTACACTCTTCCACCATGATGTCCTGTCTTACTCAGGCACTAAGGAATGGAATTAGCCATCTCTGGACTGAGACCTCAGAAACTATGAGTGCCAAACAAATTTTTCCTCCTCTAAAACTGTTCTTCTTAGGTCTTTTGGTCACAGCAGTGAAAAAGCTGACTAAAGCAGTCTCCAACATAAAGAATTATTTAACTCAAAATCTCTCTTTTGTCTTTATTGAGAAACCCTTCTACAGAGTAACTGAAAAAGACAGAAAAAAATTTAAAGGCTGTTTTTAGTTTTCTTTGCCAAACTGCCAACACATGTTTTTGGACCTGAAACTTGGAAGGAAAAAAAAAAACAAACACCACAGGCAGAAGAAAACTCCCAAACTCATTTTATTTTATTTTATTTTTTTAGAGAGAGAGAATTTTAATATTTATTTTTTAGTTCTCGGCGGACACAACATCTTTGTTTGTATGTGGTGCTGAGGATCGAACCCGGGCCGCAGGCATGCCAGGTGAGCGCGCTACCGCTTGAGCCACATCCCCAGCCCCCCAAACTCATTTTATAAAATGGAGGATGTCCTACAGATCTGCAAATATTTAAGGCAGAAAAATTAGGAAGATGGAAACAGAAAGCACTGTAATTGGGATATAGATTAAATAGAATTCTCAAGTACTGTCTTGTTAGTAACAAAGAGATAATACAGAAGAAGCTAATCAAAGCAGTTTTGCCTACTTTTGATTTTCATTCCTTGATGGAAGGAAAGAAAAAAAAAACAGCAGAAGGAAAAATTTTTTGTTAGCTTAAGAAATGTCAACTGGGGGCTGGGGATGTGGCTCAAACGGTAGCGCGATCCCCTGGCATGCGTGCAGCCCAGGTTCGATCCTCAGCACCACATACAAAGATGTTGTGTCCGCCTAAAACTAAAAAATAAAAATTAAAAAAAATTCTCTCTCTCTGTCTCTCTTAAAAAAAAAAAAAAAGAAAGAAAGAAAAAGAAATGTCAACTGGGTGCAGTAGCACACGCCTGTAATCCCAGCAGTTTGAGAGGCTAAGATAGGAGGATAGCAAGTTCAAGGCCAGCCTCAGCAATTTAGCAAGGCAGTAAGCAACTTAGCAAAACTATGCCTCTAAATAAATAAATAAATAAATAAATAAATAAATAAATAAATAGGACTGGGGATGTGTCTTGGTGGCTAAGTACCCCTGGGTTCAATCCCTGTTTACCAAGAAAAAATAAAATGAAATAAAAAGAAATGTGAAGAAGCATAAAACAGAATGTCAGTACTATGAGGAAATCAATCAGAAAACTGGTATTAGTTGCAGAATGGATAGGGAAAGTATAGTTTCTTATTAACAATTAATTCCATGAGACTTCTTTGTAAAAACCTTTTGCACTTCTAGTTGTTTTCCCTTCACCTACATTTATGTAATAAGAGAATATAGAATGAAACCTCCTAGCAAACTGACTAAATGAACAAAGGTAAATGAAAAGAGTTAGAGGAATGACCTGAAGAACTATAAATCAGGAATAAATCTCAGTGAAGTCTTATTTTACATTTTTAAATGCAGGTACAGGGCTGGGGCTGTAACTCAGTGGTAGAGCACTTGCCTTGCATGTCTGAGGCACTGGGTTCCATCCTCAGTACCAAATACAATAAAGGCATGCTGTCCATCAACAACTACAAAGTTTGTTTGTTTGTTTGTTTGTTTTTAAATGCAGATATAACATAGAAAATGCACAAATCTTAAGTATACGTCTCAATAAATTTGTATGTAAGTAATTGCCACCCACAACAGATATGAAACATTTCAGGCATTCCAGAACTTTGAACTGAGGGCATCTTGCATGAGTACTCTCCCATAGAGCTATACTCCCAGCCCTTTTTTATTTTATTTTGGGATGGATTTCACTAAGTTGCCCAGGCTGATCTTAAATTTGAGATATTCCTACCTCAGTATCCTAAGTAGCTGAGATTCCAGGCATGAGCCACTATGTACAGACTCTTACACTTTTAAATGAAATAATTATATAAAATTGTACAGTACCTGGCATGCATCATATATTCAACTTTGTCTTTCCCTTTTGAAATCTCAAGATAGACAGGTTTTGTACTAAAAAAAGTAATTATTCTTTGAGGAATAATTCTAAATAAGTCAATGTTTAGAAATAGTTCTTTTCATTTAGCCTACTCTCTTAAAGTATTTTTAAATAGCAGCACTGAACAGAATTAAAAAACGTCTCAGAGCAAATGAGAGCTCAGGTCAAACTAAAGCTAAATTTTGCCTTTTGACTCTGAGCCAGGTATAAATATATGAGCATTAGGAATGTAACAGTTTTAAGCTAAATCCTTGGTAAAACATTGTGACCAGTGAAATTTTTGTGCAATATGCACTCAACTCCTAGCCAGGTTCATTCCTGAAATGTTGTTTTTGGCTACAACAGTTCCAGTTTCTGTGTGGATTTGCCTCACATTTAGAACTGTTCTTACATCCTGACCTATGATGAATTCAAGTCCCTTTCCTTATTTTAGAAGAGGAGACTGAGGGAAGGAGCTATTCAGAACTCTTTAGTTTTTAGGAAATGAGCTCTGATTGCCTAAACTACCCAGGAAAAATACAAGGAATGAAGTTTACATTTGTGACAGTCTGAAAAGTCATTTATGCTGAAACCTCATTATCCTTTCTCCAAAGTTTTTAGGTTTGGCAGAGCTTCATGGACAGCTTTCTTTTTTATTATGGTATCTACAACTGAGTGTGTGTGTGTGTGTGTGTGTGTGTGTG